GAGGCATGGTGAAAATGGACTACCAAGATGGCATTCCCACAATGCACCGCTGAGTCCCAGATTTTTTTCACAGGGTGCACACTGACCACTGAGACCCATTCTCTCTCGTGTAGGCCTACCAGCCCTCTCCCGCTTGGTTTGAAGCCGCTAGAATTTATGCGTATAGATACGTCAAACACGGTATCTCCCACGACGTATATATACAACCGCGACAGTCAAAGGGTTAAGTGTTATGTTAGGTTTTAGGTTGCCTGAAATGCTTTGTCTAAGAGGTTTTCCATATGCAATATTAATGTCATCCATTTTTTGTACAAAGAGTTATCACATGGAAATAAAAAAAACTGAATCAAAATTTAAATTTCTTCTTTAGTAGAGTATCACTGTCTTAATACATGCAAATTAAAATTAAAAATTTTTGAAGGTAGCAACTCCTTAACCTCAAAAAGATTATTATATTTACCAAGAAGTGTTAAATTTGTACCAGTCATAAAGCATCTTTGAAATGTAAGTTAATCAGTTTGATTTGAGAAATGGTAAGGTAGTAACAATTCCATCAATCAAGAGCTCTACACTAGCCTCAAGGAAATGCCCTTTGAAGGGCTCAGAAAAAGGTAAAGGGGCATCATATTTGTACCTTTAAGAATACAAGTAAACCCTCAATATAGCAGACTAACTGGGGAAAGCAGGTGGCCAATGATTGCAGTTACAGTGGATAGAGAAGAAATTATTTTGCTGTGATAGTAATAATAAGACAATTGTGTAACTGATGGACTTCGTTCATTTTTTTTAAACTACAAACCCAGCAGATTTTGTCCCATATTTCTGAAATCCATTATACCTGTTTACATATCTACAAGAAACTCCATAATACAGTGGTCCCTCAGTTATTGGACATAATCTGTTCCAGAAGGTCGGCCTAAAACCGAAATGGCCGAAAACAGAAGAGGGGTTGTTGAGGTGGTTTGGTCATTTAGAGAGAATGGATTGAAGTAGAATGACATGGAGAGCATATAAATCTGTAGGGGAAGGAAGGCGGGGTAGGGGTCGTCCTCGAAAAGGTTGGAGGGAGGGGGTAAAGGAGGTTTTGTGGGCGAGGGGCTTGGACTTCCAGCAAACATGTGTGAGTGTGTTAGATAGGAGCGAATGGAGATGAATGGTATTTGGGACCTAACGAGCTGTTGGAGTGTGAGCAGGGTAATATTTAGTGAAGGGATTCAGGGAAACCGGTTATTTTTATATAGCTGGACTTGAGTCCTGGAAATGTGAAGTACAATGCCTGCACTTTAAAGGAGGGGTTTTGGATATTAGCAGTTTGGAGTGATATGTTGTGTATCTATATGTATATACTTCTAAACTGTTGTATTCTGAGCACCTTTGCAAAAACAGTGATTATGTGTGAGGTGAAGGTGTTAAATGATGATGAAAGTATTTTTTTGGGGGGGGATTTTCTTTCTTTTTGGGTCATCCTGCCTTGGTGGGAGACAGCCGACTCGTAAAAAAAAAAAAAAAAAAATAATGTAAATAAAATTAATCCGTTCAAGACACCCAAAAATATTAGCAAAAAAATACATTTTTTGAAGATTAATTTTAGTTTTACATACACAAAATAATGAGAACTAAATAAAATAAATAAATGTACATTTAAATCACTATTATATACGTTTATTGAAGACCCTCGTTAGTTTATGGAAGACAGGGAGGATTTGTTGTTTGGAAGGGGAATTCCCCTCCATAAACACTTCAGGCATCAAGTCCTTATCTGGGAGTTACTTCCCTTCTTTGTCTTTTAACCCTTTGACTGTCGCAACCCCAAATCCTGAAGTGTCTCTGGTGTCGCAAAATTTTTGGAAAAAAAAAAAAAAAAATTACTTATGAAATGATACAGAATCTTTTCCAATGGTAATGACACCAAAAGTACGAAATTTGATCAAAAACTTAAGGAATTACCCTCCCACGAAGTTAGCGATCTCGGCAATTTATATGCATTGGCGATTTTGCCAACTTTGAGCCCTATTTTCCGCCAATTCCACTGTTCCAGTCAACCAAACTCATAGCTATTTCTTTAGAACTCCATTTTTGCTATCAAATGAGTACAAGAAACTGCCCATTTACCAATTTCAACTACCCAATAAAGTGGTCATAAATTGGCAATTTGGCCAATTTCACACAAATTTAAAAAGATGCCAATTTCAAAATAGGGTCCAGAATAAACAATGCAGACATTCTTGGCACTAAAATAACATATCCTCTGTTCATTAGTCATGTCTCCAGGCCCCTCTTATGTTACTTTTGCTTTCTATTTTCATTTTTTATTCATACAAAAAATAGAAGATTTACTGTTATGCAGACTACTGCATTATTGTAAAAATGGTATAAATAGTATCAGTGCACTAGTGAAAGAATATTAGACTCCCAAGCTGACGTGTATTGGACGTGTGGTGTGATTTGCTTACTCTTGAACACTGGTAAAAATCGAACATTTCTGCTACTTTGAGCTCAATTTCAAGGTCGTTTTCATCGTGACACTAATCAAAATCATCTCTATTTCTGTAACATGTTTTCTATTCTATCAAATGAGACCAAGAAAACGAGAATACAACCATAAATACTACATGAAAATACACCTCAAAGTCGGCGTTTTAAACAAAAAACACAGTCAGTTTTTTTTCCTCATTATGCACTGTATGCTGCAGGATTTTTTTTATACAGTGTACATTTACCACACAGACCCATTCTCTCACATGTGGGCCTACCAGCTTTCTCCTGCTTGATTTGAAGCCACTAGAATAATTGAGTATATATGCCTATGAAACACTGGCTCATAAGATGTATATATATGGCTGAAACAGTCAAATGGTTAATGGCACTAGGACCAGCTTGAGAGTCACTGGACCCTTGTCGCACAAAAAATCTGTCCAGAGAGGTCTGTTTCTGGCGACTCTTGAAGATTTCCCTGAAGTGAGACAAGGTTTTGTCACTGAACATGTTGCAGATATGCCTTGTATCAGCTTGGTCAGGGTGATACTTTTCAACAAAACTTTGCAACTCATTCCACTTTGCACACATGTCCTTAATCACTGAAGAAGGCACCTTCTCCCCTCTCTCTTCCTCCTCCTTTGAAGCAATTTCCTCAGCTGCAGTCTATTGCTGTTCCAGTTGAAGGTCTTGCAGCTCTTCAGTTGTTAGCTCTTCCCTGTCGTCATCCACCAACTCTTCCACATCCTGGCTACTCACATCCAACCCCATACACTTCCCCTAAGACAACAGGCATAGGGTCCTCAGGGTCAGCCCCAAACCCTTCAAAATCCCTCTCTTAAGACACAATCTGGCCACAATTTTCTCCAAGCAGAGTTCAAAGTCCTGGAAGTCACTCCCTGCCAAGCCTTCCCTATAAGGATTCTGCAATGGAGGATATTGAAGTGATTCTTCCAGAACTCTCTTAGGGTCAAGTCAGTGTCTGAGGTCACTTCAAAGCACCTTTGAAACACTGCTTTTGTGTAGAGATTTTTGAAGTTAGAAATGACCTGCTGGTACATGGGCTGGATGAGAGGAGTGGCGTCAGGCGGCAAGAACTTCACTGTTATAAAACGAAAGTCCCTAAACAATTGGTCTTCCAAGTCTGGAGGATGAGAAGGAACACTGTCCAGTACCAGGAGGCACTTGAGTGGCAATTTCTTTTCCAGGAGGTATTTTTTCACACTGGGGCCTAACACATCACTGACCCACTCTTTGAAAATGTGCCTTGTGACTCATGCCTTATTATTAGCCTTCCACATCACACACAATCTATTCTTGACGACATTGTTTTTCTTGAACACTGGGATTTTCAGAGTGATACACCAGTAGAGGCTTCACTTTGAAATCCCCACTAGCATTACTACAGAACAAAAGAGTAAGCCTGTCTTTCATAGGCTTGTGTCCTGGCAGTGCTTTTTCCTCCTGCATAATGTAGGTCTTCTTTGGCATTTCTTCCAAAAGAGGCCTGTTTCATCACAATTGAACACTTGTTGGGGAAGGAATCCTTCAGCCTCTACATACCCCTTGAATTCCTGCACAAATTTTTCAGCTGCACATTTGTCAGAACTTGCAGCCTCCCCATGCCTTACCACACTATATATGCCACTACACTTCTTAAATCTCTCAAACCGGCCTTTGCTGGCCCTAAACTCACTAACAGTAGCACTTTTTCCAGGTATTTTCTTTCCAAGATCCTCATGCAACTGCCTTGCCTTCTCACAAATCATCAACTCCGTGACACTATCTCCCGCTAATTGTTTTTCGGTGATCCACAAAACCAACAACTTCTCCATATCTTCCATTATCAGTGACCTTTGTTTGGTTAGCACATTTACTCCTTTTGCCACATCAGCTTCTTTGATTTGTTCTTTCTTTGCCAGGATAGAAGTGATTGTTGATTTGTTTTTCCTATACATCCTGGCAAGTTCTGGGACTTGAAAACCACTCTTAAACTTTTCAACAACTTCTTTCTTAAATTCCATCATGTTTCTCACTTTCTTTACCAAAGGAACTTCCTTTGGGGCAATGATTACTTAATTCACAGTTGGTAACCACAAAAAACAACTGATTACAGGCAAATATTTGGCTGAATGAGCAGAAGCTTCCTCACTTACCCAGAGACAAAACCAGACTGATGCGCGAGCGGCTGGTGGTGGCGGGTTGACGTGTACCATATGGCTGATAAGCAAAATAACGGCCGGTAACCAGAAGTTGAAAAACCGGTCGATAAGCGAGCTGGCTGATAGGCGGAACAGCCGATAACCGAGGGTCCACCGTATGTATATTAGTCACTGTGCTAATAAGCCTATGCTTTCAGAAAAGAAGTATTTGTCAGGCTGCAAATGTAGATCAGATATGTATTTTAAAAATTAAGATTCAGTACATATAAAGACATTTATGATGGAAATAAATTAAACTTTCCTAGTTTTTTTTTTTTAATATAATAAGCTTAAATAAAAGATCTAACGCTTCACACATCTAACTTTTTTTATCTTTGAAGTTTTAGCTTTAGATGTAGATGATATGGAGGATGCTTGTTCTTCTTCTGGCTCATCTTCTTCCTCATCATCACCTTCATGTTCCTCTTCATCATCATCATCATCATCGTCATCGTCATCATCGTCGTCATCATCATCATCATCGTCATCATCATCATCATCATCATCGTCATCAGGATCATGTACTTCTCCATCGCTGCCACTTCCAATCTGCCAAAAAGTGTAAAAATTAGATACATATATAAAAATTTATTTATCTTCAGAAAATATCTACCCATTTGTCATTGTTTTATAGACCTACAGCAGTTCAAGCTATTCCAGAAATTTAAATAAATTTAACAGAGCTAAGCCTAATTAGAGTATTCATAATTTGCATTCCCACAAGCAAGATGACATGGACACACTACATCAGGAAACACATGTCCTATTTCCTGATGAACCTTACTTTAGGTAGCCTAACTACAGTTGTCTAGAAAGTGGCTTCTTGAGTTCACCTCTAGGAAGTACAAAGTGATAGGGTGAAAGGATGGAAATAGACAAGTGGCACCATACCATCACAGAAGGAGGCAACTGTCAAAAATATTAATATGTTCCTGAAAATAATTTGTAAGTTGAGTGCTCAGCACTCAGAAATTATTTTTCCCTAGACACTTGTATTATAACCAGAGATGTGCTCCCGAGCCATAATACTCTGCATCTAATTTCGCTTATTTTTTAAGTAAGAATATTTACCTTAGGTCACTTAGGTCACATTACACATGCATGTACACGCATATATATAAACATACCCATCCAGGTTTTCTATTTTCTTAATAGTTCTTGTTTTTCTTTATTTCCTCTTATCTCCATGGGGAAGTGGAAAAGAATTCTTCCACTATAAGCCAAGCGTGTTGTAAGAGGCAACTATGATGCCACGAGCAAGAGGCTAGTAACCCATTCTCCTGTATAAATTACTGAAGTTAAAAAGAGAAACTTTTGTTTTTCTTTTTGGGTTGCCCTGCTTTGGTGGGATAAGGCCAGTTTGTTAAAAAAAAAATTTACCCAATATTATACATCAGTACTGTTCACTTTCACTTACAGTCTTAAACATTATTTAATTAATGTATACATGTTAATTAAACAGAACAGAGCTACAGTACAGTATGCAGTACATAACATTTGTGTTAAAAGTTAGAAGACAGTGTAGAATTACCAAAGGTATAATTCAGACAGCTGAGAAGAGGATGGAGCAGAATAGGATGACCAAGGTGTATAAATTTGAGTGGGAGGAAAAGGTGGGGTCATCCCAGGAAAGGCTGGAGGTTCTGAATGTCTGTTGTTGGAGCATCTAGCAGGCTTGTGTGAGCAAGTTACTCTGGAGTGGATACAAGTGGTTTTCATAGCTAGATTTGCTGTTGGAGCATGAGCAAGGTAACATTTACCTGCAGGTGGGAAGTACAGTGTCTGAGCTCTGAAGAAATGGTGGGATGTTGCAGTTCAGAGGGTCATTTGAATTGTGATTTCTGCATACTTCTCGTAAGACAGCTGCTGAAGGAATGATGGTGGTACGTGTTTCCAGCAGTAGTACTGCTTTGAGCTCAGGGTCTGTGCCATAATACTACATGATGAGCTCAGCTCACTCAGATAAGTTGTGGGCCTAGATATGAGAGAATGGGTCTATGCAGTGAGGGGTGCCCCATATAAAAAAATCCTGCCCCACACAGTGCATGATGGGAAAAAAACTGACTGTATATTTGGTTTAAAATAATGACTCTGCAGTGTATTATCAGATAATTTTTATGGTTGTATTCTCAGTTTCTTGGTATCATTTGACAGAATCGAAGATATATTAAAGAAATAGAGATGATTTTGATTGGTTTCAAGACTGGAAGTAGCTTGAAATTGAGCTCAAAGTATAGTGGAAATGTTCGGTTTTTGCCAATATTCCAGAGAACACAAATTACATCACTCGTCCAATACACACCCAACTGGTCAGTCTAATATGCATTCACAAATGCACTTATATTAATTCCACAATTATTATAAAAATGCAGTAGTCTGCATAAAAGTAAATCTTCTATTTTTTGTGTGAATAAAAAATTCTAAATGGAAAGCAATTGTAATATAGGAGAGGCCTGTGGATGTAACTAATAAACAGAGGAAATGTTGTTTTAGTGCCAGGAATGTCTACATTGTATATTGTGGACCCTGTTTTTAAAATGGCAATTTTGGAGTTTTGTGTGAAATTAGCCAAATTACCAATTTCTGATCACTTTACTGGGTAATTGAAATAGTTAAATGGGCGGTTTCTTGTACTTAGTCAACAGAAAGGAAGGCATACTAATGAAATAGCTAAGAGTTTCATCGACTGGAACAATTAAATTGGCTTAAAATAGAACTCAAAGACTACTAAATTTGCATAAGTGCAATTTCGTAAGTTTTCCATCACATTTCATACTTTTGGTGTTATTACCTTCAGAAAAAAATTCTCTATCATTCCATAAGAATTTTTTTTTTTTTTTTTGAAAATTCTTGGACCCTGTGGACATGTTTCAGATCCAGGGTCTGGACCCTCAAAGAGTTAAATCATCTTACTTTGGTACTGCTACCCTAATCTATAAGACAGTTACATAATGGGCACAAAAGCTGGCTATGTTTCCCTGTCATAATCCATTTTGTTGGATGGATTTTATAGTGCTGAAAATCTGTCAGCCAAGAGACATGAGTAAGGCACTGAGGATATCATTACATATTTCATTAAGGGTCCATCAGGTACTGGAAATTTAAAGGTTTTGCTCCAGCAGAACTATAGTTTCTATTACTAGGGAATTATATTCTCCCACGATAGCCTATCCCATTCACAGGATAAATGGAACCTTTTTGAAGATATCTCCATCATCAGAGGACAATAAAAATGTACACCAATCGTCATGAGGATACAAATATTGATTAACACTGACATGTAGGTAAGACACATATGTCCTAGTTACTACTTATGTGATAACTAGGACATATTGTTAAAATGTCCTAATTGACATATAGTATATTTGTCTTTCTTACATACCAATCCTCAAACTGCAAAAGGAATTATTATAGGAATACAAGCTACTAAAGTGTGTATTAAATGTAAGTAGAAGATTGTACAATTTATCTGTCATATCACATGTTCATGACACAGAACAAATAAATAACAAAAAAGGCACAATACCGTGACTGGAACAACACACAAATAACCCACACATAAAAGAGAAAAGCTTACGACGAAGTTTCGATCCGACTTGGACCATTGACAAAATCACACTAACCAGAGGTGGAGCAGGACGGCTATATATAGGCAGGAAGAGGTGCTGGTAGTAGTAGTAGTAGTAGTAGTACAAGAATTGTATATAATACCAACAAGATGAAATTAAGACACATGCACAACACCCGGGCATCCCCATCGTAGACGTTTCACCATCCAGCCAGCCACTGGATGGCGAAACGTCCACAACAAAAGCAACCAGACGCCGCACATGTGTCTTAATTTCATCAGTAGTTGTAATAGAAGTAGAAGAAGAAGAGGTAGTAGTAGTGGTAGTGGTAGAAGTGGGAAATAAGGAAGACGAGCCAGTCAAATACAAAGGAAGGGGAGCACTGCAAGAGAGCTAGATGCCCACAGAGGGAGAGCAAGTGCACAGAGGTGCGTGAAAGGGGAAGTGGTGAAATAAATGAAGAAGGAACAGAAACACGAGACAGGAGAGAGAAAGACAACCCAGAGGAGAAAAGGAAAGAGGAAAGGGGAAGAGGAAGAAGAAGAAAAAGAAAAAGAAAAAATGAGGATTCAGGTTAAGTCACGGGTGTTCTGAAGTTTGGAGCATTTTACAATGTAGTGGGAGAGGAAGGCATCTACAGAGACGAAGCCTCCCCTTCCTTTGTATTTGACTGGCTCGTCTTCCTTATTTCCCACTTCTACCACTACCACTACTACTACCTCTTCTTCTTCTACCACTACTACAACTACTGATGAAATTAAGACACATGTGCGGCGTCTGGTTGTCTTTGTTGTGGACGTTTCGCCATCCAGTGGCTGGCTGGATGGCGAAACGTCTATGATGGGGATGCCCGGGTGTTGTGCATGTGTCTTAATTTCATCTTGTTGGTATTATATACAATTCTTTTACTACTACTACTACTACTACCAGCACCTCTTCCTGCCTATATATAGCTGTCCTGCTCCACCTCTGGTTAGTGTGACTTTGTCAATGGTCCAAGTTGGACCGAAACGTCGTCGTAAGCTTCTCTCTTTTATGCGCGGGTTATTTGTGCAGAGAACAAAGCTTGTGGGTCATCGAAAGATACTCATCTCAGAACTCTGTCCTGACCAATATTAAACTAACTCATGATACAGAAAAAAAAAAAAAGACCAACAATCCTTTTGGTGTAAAATATTCAACACCCATTTCACATTCATGACAGAAATATAGAACATCCCTGGATGGCTGCCACCTACCAGCCTACTACTTGGTAAGTGTATTTTTTACACACATGTGATAGAAGGTAGTGCCTTCCTGGATGAGTGCTGTCTACCAACCTACTACCTGGAGTGTGTGTCACATTTATGTCACAGGAAGGTAGTACCTCACTGGATGGTTACTGTCTATCAACTTGCTACATGGTATGTGCCTCATTCTCCAGTGTCAGGAAGTCCCATTCTGGGGGACTTCCTGACAGGAAAGTAGTACCTCCCATGATGGTTACTGTCTACCAACCTACTACCTGATATTTCTGTACACTACTGGAATGATATATAAGAGCAAGTAATACAGTACAGTGGAACTTTGGTACTTGAACAGTTCCCTACTTGAACAAAGCTCAGCAATCAACCAAACAAACACGACCTGCCAGAACTTCGCTGTAAACTATTTTGTGTTTCTTAGCATTTTTTGGTGTTTTTTACATTATTTGTATAAATAAGTCACTATGGGGCCTACAAAGATTAGTGATAACAGCCAACCAAAAAGAAAATTGGTTGGGAAGAATCTGTTCGATACTCGAACAGATCGGCACTCAAACAACCTTCTGGAATGAATTAAGTTTGAGTACCATGGTTCCACTGTATATGCCACAACCACCACAAACCTTTTAAAATTATAAGACAATCTCAACACAGTAGAAAGGAAACCATGAGAATGGCTATGCTCCTGTAACAACAGATAAATAATTACAAATATTTTTTTTTTAACAAGTCGACT